ATTCCTGGTTAGTCCCTACAAAATACATGTAAAAATAAATTGCTCCATATTTAACAGCCAGTGCATCAATACAGTGTCACAGAGGAAATTAGAGTCTCTGACTGTAACATGACTTGTCGGTTGATGTTTTGTCTTCCCACAGTGGCTGTAGATGACATTTTACTTGCATTTCATGTTCATATCATTTGCGTTTTATCTTGATCAGCATTCCAAATATTGTGGTTTGTTTGTAAATGTTGTTTGTAGGTCTTGTTTCATATGCAGACATACACATCTTGCTACATATATTTATTAAAAAGGAAGCCCCTGTGTCTCTGATGCTTGCAAATATCTAAAGAAAATTAAGTTTGGAATGTTTTGATCAATATGCAGTGGAACAAACTAGCAGCCTATGCCTACGCAAGCAGTCTGGTTTCTCCCAGAGGAGATTATCCTGCAGTTATTGCTACAACGGCTAATCCAGGATTCTGTTTTATGTGCTTCCTTTTGTCCAGACTGAAGTGTTTTAAACGATTGTCTGTAAAACTGAAATTGACCAAATTCCCAACCCTATGCGGTTACAATTACAAGAAGGCTAAAAGAGTGCCAATCAGGACTGATGAGTTTGTGTTTGGCAACCTACCCAAAAAAACAGCAAAGCGATGTCATTTTTGTTGGTACCTTCTCAAACATGGGAATTTCTCATTACACAGGCTGTCAGTTAGTGTACAAGTGTAGAAGTATAGAAGTGTAGAAGTATTACAAAAGTAAACTGAGTAGTTTTCAGGCACATTTATTGAAATATTAAAGATATATTTCCAAACGAGATAGAGGAGCTGCTGCAAAACACTCTAATTAACCTAATAAATGCCTCAAACCTTCAGTTTAACAACAAAACAACAAGTTCCTTTGACCATCAAATAGTCATGTTTTTAGTTTGCATGATAGGAAGTGTGTTCATTGTCTTTTAATTTCCTAAAAGTATTGTCTTTCATATTTTTTGACTAATAAAAGTGGATATTCTTTAAATGTACTGCAGTAGTCACACACCACAGTGCAACATAGGAAACTACAGTAAACACAAAAAAAATTACAAAGCACTAAAACAACAACAATGTAGCATAAAAATATATGTACAGTTTAAACAGTGTGTATACATCATGCCCTGTTAGAGTTTTTTGTCGTCAAGCCTTTCTTGCACTTTAGCTGGGGAGTAATTAATGTTCATGCCACAACCAGATGCACTCTCCTGCATCTCCCTGTGTTCTGTTTTCTTGCCCCTTTCAACATGTCACCACACATCGACACTCCTTTCCCCGTTTCATAGGCAGTCTCTTGCACCCACAAAATGTCTATCTGAGCATTTTAAATACATTTCACATTACTCATATCATGACTTACACCTGTAGGCTCTCCAGATTTTGCAGACTAGATGGCCGGTTCTGCTTGTGCACAATGAAAAAAGCACTTTCTGTCGTGTAGAAGTGACAAAACATTGTAGATAAAAGCCATAAGTCTTAATCCAACTGATAATCTGAAATATGTGTTTCTGGCTGAAATTGATCTATAACCTTAGTATGGTTCATTACCTGAAGCCATAGATTCTCAGAGTTTTTCTCAAAATCCTCACATCCCATACGAAAGTGACCAAAATCAGATTTGAAAATATCAGATTTGTGCCGTTCACACTGTCATACCATGATCGGATATGGGTCACATAGGGTCGAAAAAGTCGGATTTGATGCGCTTTCGCCTGCAGTGTGAACATAGCCCTATTATCGGGGGATATTGAAGTTTTCCCTACTCAGTAGAGAGAGGTAATCTCTCTCTAATCTATGCGTTGGTATTTTGTTGTGAAACACTTGATGTTTTTTTGTTTTTTTCTTGAAAGGTGCTATAGAAGTTGATTTTATTTACTTACTTATATTGCTGGTTTACGACTTTAATTCCATCCGGTGGTATGCTGTGTGGCAGTTTGACAGTGTAGTCTTTCTGAAACTGCAATTTGTATTGTGTACTGAACCTGGTGGGCGTGAGGCATGAGCTTAAATACTGTTAGGCAGTCTGTGTGCTTAGTAATTATGCTGAGGGTTTGTAATCTGGTGAATATAGATATAAATATTAGCTATTTTCAGACAAATAGAAAATCTTGTGCCATCACTAGTAGCCACAACTGATTAACTTCTGCAGCAGGTGTTCCAGTAAGGCCGTGGGATAATATTAACTGACCATAATGAGTGAAGATTACCCTGCAATTTTACAGCAGTGTTCTGATAATAGCCGCCTGAGTCTATGCCACTGAAAATTAATAGCTAGTCATTAAATCTATTGACAGAGTAATCTCACGAGAGCAGGTAGAAAATAGCTGGAAGCATTCAGGCTATAAGGGTAAGACTGCATTTAAGTTCACCTGATATCAGCATGTATAAAGTAACCTGCTTGATTGACTAACCTTTGATGTCCCTTGATGCCAATCTCTATTTTCCTTTGGTTTGTACATTGTAATAAAGTTTATTAGCATATTATTGTAGTTTTTGTGGCAGCACTTTTTATTACAGTAGTAGTGGAGTAACAAAGCAGAAAAAATTACATAATAATGTGGTAATTTCAGAGTTATTACAATGCAATTACAAAGTAATAACAGTTAATATCAAGCAATATCATGGTAGCAACAGTGGTTACAGTTGAGTAATATTACACTCAAACTAGGGCTGGGCGATATGGCCAATTATATCGCGATATAATTTGAAGCACGTGCGGTAACAATATATATCGCGATATATTCTTTTCTTCTGTATAACATATTTTTGACACTATAAGGCACACTTAAAATCCTTTAATTTTCTCAAAAATCGAGAGTG